ATGATGATCACATTCAAAGAAATGGCTCTTCGTCCTTGAAAGAGACACTTGTAAGTTGCCAGAGATACACATCACAGTTGCCAGGACTCCGTAAATGCTCTAAGCAAGAGAGATCAAGGGCCACCTCTGATGTTGGCTGGAACAAACAGTGAATTTTCCAGGCAGCTTTGTGCTTTCCCAGGCAGGCATTTTTTTTTCCTTTTTATTGTTTTTTTTTCATTTATTTTTATTAGTTGGAGGTAAATTACTTTACAATATTGTAGTGGTTTTTGTCATACATTGACATGAATCAGCCATGGATTTACATGTNTTTGCTATTATTTTCTCCCAATCTGAGGGCTGTCTTTTCACCTTGCTTATAGTTTCCTTTGTTGTGCAAAAGCTTTTAAGTTTCATTAGGTCCCATTTGTTTATTTTTGCCCAGGCAGGCATTTTAAATGAGGGCCTGGGGTCATCCTAAGGACACTGTCTTGTGTGTCCAGAGACCATGCTGTGGTCTGATCATCTCTTTTGCAGGTTTGGACAGAGTCCTTAGGTGCCAAAATTCTGTGGTTCTCAGGGGCACAAGGAAACTTTGGGATGAGGGAGATGTTCTTTATCCTAACTTGGTGATGGTTTCATGGGTGTATGTGTATGTCAAAGCTCATCAAACCAAACCTTTAAATGTGTGCAGTTCATTGCAAGTAAGTTATACCTCAACAAAGCTGATTTTAAAAAAAGAAAAAAGGTGCAAAGGATAGTTTTGTTTTGTTGCTAAAACCACAATAGACTGATGCCTGTTAACACCCAAACTAGAATTTATTCTAAATATACTCTTTAAAACAGGGTGGCAAACAGGAGAACAGCAACAAATTAGGATCAGCAAATGAAACTCAGCGATAAGTGTTGTAAAAATTGTGTTCGTTGGCAATGTAGAAAAGTTCTCAATTGTTTTATCCTTTGCTATATGTGTTGGGGCAGGAGGGTTCAGAGGAATAGATTTTATTTCTTGGAGCAATTTTAAGTTCACAGGAAAACTGGACAGAATGTACAAAGAGCTCCCATCAACTGCCTCTCCCCACTACCACCCCAGTGGGCCTTTTACTCCCACTGCACACAGTGGGCTCCCCTGGGTAAAAACTGACAGACCAGCACGGACACATTATCACTAACTGGAGCCCGTGGTTTGCATGAGGGCTCACTCTTTTTGTTAAGAAAGCTAAAGGAAATTTTAAGTTTCCCTTCCACGCCATATATGATCATTTCCTATGAGGAAAAGAAAGTTGTTTGGAATCACAGTTTTCCATATTCTAGATGTGTTTACAGCACTGATACTTAAGCATTACTTTTAAAAAGGGAGGAAAATAGACACTTATCACATTCTTATTCTTTCCGATAAAAAACAATAGTTCAAATAGTCCTAACAGCTTAATCATAAAAACAGGTTGTGGCTTCTATCCATAAAATATAAAGGATATCAACTTTTATCCATTAACTCACTTAGTGCTGAGCATTTCAATTTTCCTGCCAATAATAACAGAATAATAAAACATATGTCATGAGTATAGTACTTGCATGATTTTAGTAATGTTTTTTTAAAGTAGATCTACCCTTCAATGACCTAGTATTGAAGAACTGCAATACTTCCTAAAAGCATGACTTAAAGGATTTTCAGGCATTTGCTGAAAATTCTTTAAGTACCACTAACAACGACAGCATGACAATTAGAGTGTTCCTAAAGCTCTTTAGAATAACAACTTACAATATTCTAAGCCAACCTGAATCATGACTGCAAATGTGGCTTCAGTGTAGAATTCCCCTGGCAGTAGCTGTTTCAAATATGTGACCCAAACCCTTCCACATACGGAAAAGCGAGAATGTTATTATGTGTGCTTGTACAAGGTGAAGGTGTTCCAAGCACAAGAAAAGTCCAATCACGACCCACTGAAACCTTGAGATCCTGATCTTAAACACCACTCTTAGTGTCGTACATTCTATGGGTTTACACGATGTCGTGAACCCACAATCTGAGCAGCCTACAGAATAGCTCCAGTGCCCTAAAAATCCCATGTGGGTGTGTGTTAGCCTCTCAGTTGTGTCCGACTCTTTGCAACCCCATGGACTGTACCCCACCAGGCTCCTCTGGCCATGGAATTCTCCAGGCAAGAATACTGGAGTGGGTTGCCATTTCCGTCTCCACAGAGTCGTCCTGACCCAGGGACTGACCCAGGTCTCCTGCGTTGGCCGGCAGATTCTTTACCCTCTGAGCCACCAGGGAAGCCTCAAAAATTCCCTGTGTCTCACCTATTTGTCCCTCCCAGCCTCCACACCCAGCCCCCGGCAGCCATTAATATTTTATTATAATTTTGTTATAATCTTTCAATTATGATTTATCATAATGTCATTTCCAGGCTATCATATAGTGGGATCATACAATAAGTACATTTTCAGATTGGCTTCTTTCACTTAGCACTATGAATAACGTTTCATCCCTGTCTTTTGCTGGCCTGGTACCTCATTTCCTGTGATCACTGAATAATATCCCACTGTACAGAACATATCTGCTTTTGAGATGTTAGATTAGATAATAGTTGCAATTATTTCAAAGAACCATATTTTATAACAAAAGTATAAAAGTGCATTTTTGTCAGCGTTTTCAAAAAATAAAATGTATAAAAGACTGACCCTGCTAAATGTTAAGTGTATTATACATGGGGGAGATGTGGTCTGTGTCACCTTCAGTTGACTGTACTAAGCAAGTCTCCTCAAGGTCCCCAGTCCTGTCACACAAACACGATGAGACTCATTTTTACTGATGATGAACTGAGGCTCAGGGTTACCTGCCAATTTAGGAGCAGCGTCTACACTCAAATTCAGGTCTGCTGCATAGAGAGCAGACTTGTGGCTGCCCAGGATGAGGGTTTGGGAGGGGTGCATCGGGAGTTTGGGACTAGCGGATGCAGAGTGGATAAGCAACCGGGTCCTACTGTAGGGCACACGGAGCTATATTCAACAGCCTGTGGTAAACCATGATGAGATGACTAAATGTGTGTATTTACTAAATCTGAGTCACTCTGCTGTGGAGCAGACACGTACACACACTGTAAATCAGCCACACTTCAATAAAATAAGTTTGAACACACACACACAAATTCAGGTCTACTTATACTAGCATCTTTTTTTTTTTAACTTTTTATTTTGTATCGGGGTATAGCTAATTAAAAATGTTGTGACAGTTTCAGGTGAAGAGTAAAAGGACTCAGCCATACATATGCATGTATCAAGATCCACTCTCCCCCAAAGCCCCTCCCATCCCGGCTGCCACAGAACATTGAGGAGAGTCCCGTGTTGTACAGGGGGGTCCTTGCTGGTTACCCACTTTAAATACAGCAGTGTGTGATGCTAACATCTTTGCTCTTTGTGCAAAACTAAAACCTCTACAAATACTGAAGTGATGCACAAATGTAGGTGATGAAAGGGAGGGAGACTGAGGAAGGAAAAGCATTGGTCCAGTGGCCAGGGTGGTGAAGTCTTTGCCAAGAGCACTATGAAAAGCAGAGACTGTAGTTGCCAAGTCCTGATCTTGGGCCACAGAAATCAGAGGAAAACAAGACACCAAAGAGAAGGGAGACTGAAAAGGAAAAGAAGGAGGAGGAGGAGAAGGAAGGAAGGAAAGAAGAAAAAAAGAAAGAAAGAGAGATGCACGCAATTAAATTGTCTTAGCTGCTGCAAAGCTGTTTGTCCTAAGGAGAAGGTAAAACGTAAACTGTCTTTCTGGCCTTAATTTACTGCTGATCACTGGTATCATGAAGATTCAGCAAGACTACGCCAAGTAGATTGTCTCCGGTGGAAGAAAATGAAGGAGAAGCTATGAGCTTCCATTAGAGCCACAGACTATGTATTATACTGTTCCCTTGCATGTGTTTCCCACTTCCTAACAATTAGATGCATGAGTGTTCATTGAAAACAAAAACAAACCCAGTCTCTTCACTTCTCAGAGCATTCAGTGGTTTTTCAAGAATAAAATGATGAGACCATAAAAATTTTAATAAGAATAATGCATTAATTAAGGTGTTTTAATTAATTTGTTGGTGTTCACTCATTAAGTCATGTCCTACTCTTCACAACCCCATGGACTGCAGCATGCCAGACTCCCCTGTCCTTCACTGTCTCCTGGAGTTTGCTCAGATTCATGTCCATTGAGTCAGTGATGCTAACAAACTATTTCATGCTCTGATGCCCTCTTCTCCTCCCGCCTTCAATCTTTCCCAGCATTAGGGTCTTTTCCAATGAGTTGGCTCTTCGAATCCGGTGGCCAAACTATTGGAGCTTCAGCTTCAGCATCAGTCCTTCCAATGAATATTCAGTGTTGATTTCCTTTGGTTTGATCGCCTTGCAGTTCAAGTGACTATCAAGAGTCTTCTCCAACACCACAGTTTGAAAGCATTAGTTCCTCCTGCTTAGCCTTCTTAATGGTCCAACTCTCACATCTGTACGTGACTATTGGAAAAACTATAGCTTTGACTATACAGACCTTTGTCGGCAACGTGATGTCCCTGCTTTTTAATATGCTGTTTAGGTTTGTCATAGCCTTCCTTCCAAGGAGCAAGCGCCTTCTAATTTCATGGCTGCAGCCACTGTCTGCAGTGATTTTGGAGCCCAAGAAAATAAAATCTGTCACTGCTTCCACTTTTTCCCCTTCTATGTGCCATGACTGGAAGACCCCTGGAATGGCAAACCACTCCAGTATTTTTGCCTCAAGAACCCCATGAACAGTATGAAAAGGTTTTAATTAATTACATCCTTTGAAAACCCACTCTTGGTTTTGCTCTGAGATAACTCAAAAAACACCATCTACAGGAGTTGGCGTCTTTCCCCAAAAGGAAAACAACTGCAAAAATAACACCCAAGGCAATCCAGTCATAAAATTCACACTCCTTCGGTCTTTAATGATATCTTTTCTATATTCTATTTTCTGTCTTCTCTCCAGGAAGTTGAGAAAGAAGAAAAAACATGACCCAATGGAGCAGGGAAATCATACCAGGGTGAAAGAATTTATTTTTCAAGGACTGACCCAGTCCCGAGAACTGAGCCGGGTCTTATTTCTTTTCTTATCGTTGGTGTACACAGCCACCGTGCTGGGCAACCTCCTCATCATGGTCACTGTGAGCTGCGAGTCCCGCCTCCACACCCCCATGTACTTCCTGCTCCGCAACCTCTCCGTCCTGGACATCTGCTTCTCCTCCATCACCGCCCCCAAGGTCCTCGTGGACCTTCTTTCGGAGAGAAAGACCATCTCCTTCCGCGGCTGCCTCACGCAGATGTTCTTCTTCCACCTGCTCGGGGGCGCGGACATCTTCGCCCTCTCGGTGATGGCCTTTGACCGCTACGTGGCCATCTCCAGGCCCCTGCACTACGTGACCGTCATGAGCCGGGGGCGCTGCGCCGCCCTCATCGCGGCCTCCTGGGCGGGGGGCTTCGTCCACTCCATCGTGCAGATCTCCCTGCTCCTGCCCCTCCCCTTCTGCGGACCCAACGTCGTGGACGGTTTCTACTGCGACGTCCCCCAGGTCCTCACGCTCGCCTGCACTGACACCTTTGCCCTCGAGGTCTTAATGATTTCCAACAATGGTTTGATCTCTACCCTGTGGTTCGTCTTCCTGCTCGTGTCCTACGCAGTCATCCTGACCATGCTGAGGTCGCACTCTGGGGANCCAGGACTGATCTCCTTTAGGATGGACTGGTTGGATCTCCTTGCAGTCCAAGGGACTCTCAAGAGTCTTCTCCAACACCACAGTTCAAAAGAATCAGTTCTTTGGTGCTCAGCCTTCTTTATAGTCCAACTCTCACATCCTTACATGACTACTGGGAAAACCAAGGCTTTGACCATATGGACCTTTGTCAGCAAAGCGATATCTCTGCTTTTTAATGTGCTGTTTAGGTTTGTCATAGCTTTCTTTCCAAGAAGCAAGCATTTTTTAATATCACGGCTGCAGTCACTGTCTGCAGTGATTTTGGAGCCCAAATAAATAAAATCTGTCACTACTTCCACTTTTTCCCCTTCTATTTGCCATGAAGTGATGGGACTTGATGCTGTAATCTTAAAGGAACTCCAAAGTTTATATCACTCAAACACCTCATTTCATAGGTGAGAAAATGAAATCTGAAAGAAAATTACCTCTTAATTCTTGAGTTGTGGCTGTACCTTCTGCAGCCCAAGCAACAATTAGTAAAATGATCTTCAGGAACCAGAGTCCTGATTGTATAAAATCCAGCCACTCCTCCCTTTGTGGAAAATTTCCATTGCCCATTTTGAGGATATCAGTTCTGCTTTTCTAAGGAAACCTCTGGGTTTCCCTTACAGAAGCTGAGATGGTTCATATTTTATCAAAGTTTTTGTCATTGATAAATAGCTGAGACAAGGCTAGATCTGAGATGTCTGACCTCACTTCAATGCATGTCTGACTATTCCTGTTGCCTCAGGCAGGATTTGACGGCATCTGAAACCAGCTCATCTATTTATCCTCTACTGTAGTGTTGCGCTTCCCATGTGGCACAATGGTCAAGAATCCGCCTGTCAAGGTAGAAGCTGCAGGAGATGCAGGTTCAACCCCTGAGTCAGGAATATCCCCTGGAGGAGGGAAGCAGGCAGGCCACAACCTTTAAATGAATGACATAGCCCTTGAGGATATGACAAACTGGTTAGAACCGACTGGGTCTAAGATGGCAGAAGATTTGACTTCCAGTGGACCTTGAGCCTCATTATACTCTCCTTGTAATACACTAGCATCTAAATGCCATACCCACAGTCACCATGACAATTCCGAGGCCAACCATCAAAGACCAATGGTGCTGATCATGGTGCTCAGTTGTGTCTGACTGTTTGCAACCAGTCAGACTGTAGCCCACCAGGCTCCCCTGTCCTTGGGATTATCCCGGCAAGAATACTGGAGTGGGTTGCCATTTCCTCCTCTAGGAGAATTGTCATGGTGCCTGTGGGTATGTCATTTAGATGCTAGTGTATTACAATCCATACATGACTACAGGAAAAACCGTAGTTTTGACTAGATGGTGGAGAAGGAAAAGGCAACCCCCTCCAGTATGAGAATCCCAGGGACAGAGGAACCTGGTGGGCTGCCGTCTATGGGCTCACACCGAGTAGGACACAACTGAAGGGACTTAGCATGCATGTATTGACCAGATGGACCTTGGTCCACAAAGTCATGTCTCTACTTTTCAATATGCTGTCTAGGTTGGTCATAGTTTTTCTTCCAAGGAGCAAGTGTCTTTTAACTTCATGGCTGCAGTCACCATCTCCAGTGATTTTGGAGCCCCCCAAAATAAAGTCTGTCACTGTTTCCATTGTTTACCCATTTATTTGCCATGAAATGTTGGTACCAGATGCCATGATCTTAGTTTTCTGAATGTTGAGTGTTAAGCCAACTTTTTCACTCTCCTCTTTCACCTTCATCAAGAGGCTCTTTAGTTCTTCTTCACTTTCTGCCATAAGGGTGGTGTCATTGGCATATCTGAGGTTATTGATATTTCTCCTGGCAATCTTGGTTCCAGCTTGTGCTTCATCCAGCCCAGCATTTCACATGATGTAGTCTGGATACAAGTTAAATAAGCAGGGTGACAGTATATAGCCTTGACGTGCTCCTTTCCTGATTTGGAACCAGTTCCCCCCTGTTTCACCATCACTACAAAAGTTAGATACATCTCTGGAAGGCCATGGCCATCTTCTGGTGGTTATGGTGCAGAAAGGGCATCTGCAAGCCCATTCTCAGTAGTGTCTCACTAGTGATTAATTTCAGGTGGTCTACCGGCCCAATCAATGGCCCCAGGTGTCATCTCAGAGTGGAAGAGATACAGGACAGGACAACAGGTTGCACATGCGAGAGATAAGTCCAAGCCCAGGTGTCAGAGGTAACCTGAGAGACCCAGGTACAGACAAGTGAAATACTTCAGCAAGGTGATGGGGTGACACAAGACAGGAGCTATTGACAAAATTCACATACACTCATATCTGATCATGGGCTTTTAAAACTCCACATTTCAAAAAAAAATCTACATTTGCTTCTTTGGGGTTACTGTTACTTCCTGACTATAATTAAAATCATTCACCAGATTTCTGACTATAGCTTTGAATTTTGTACCTAGCTACCCACAGGAAAAAAACATCAAGAACAACAACAACAGAAAGTCAAGAACAATTCAAATTTTTTCTTGAACCAAAGAATACAGAATCATAGTTTCCCATAATAAGTATGTTCCTTTATCAACAATAGCTATTTGGTTCCTTGTAAATCAATTTTTATACCAAAAAAAAAAAAAAATCCCTTCCTCATACCTTTTCTCAGTGTTTAATCTTTACTTTCTAGAGGCAAATAGTGAATTGAGGATTCTAAATACACACACACACACACACACACACACACACACACAAATTCATACACACACAAATACCCACACATTTACTTTTAAGAAACAACTGATTTTAAAGAAAGTGAAAGTATTAGCCTCTCAGTCATTTCCAACTCTTTTCGACCCCATGGGCTGTAGCCCGCCAGATTCCTGTCCATGGAATTCTCCAGGCAAGAACACTGGAGTGGATAGCTGTTCTGTTCTACCGTGAATCTTCGCTACCCAAGGATTGAGCCCAGGCCTCCCGCATTGCAAGCAGATTCTTCACCATCTGAGCCACCAGAGAAGCCCAATTAATCGATTACTGGGTTCCTAAAAGACTATGGTGCTTTGGAGACATAGTATACATTAAAATCTGTTTCCCCAAGGGAATTCCCTGGCAGTTCAGCAGTTAAGATTCTGTGCTTTCACTGTCAGGGGTGCAGGTTCGGTCCCTGGCTGGGGAACTACGACCCCCAGCTTTCTGTGCAGCCAAGTTCTTTTAAATAAGTAAATAAGTTTGTGCTTAAAAAAAAAAGTATATATATATATATATATATATATATATATCCACATATATATACTTTTCATGAAAGTGTTCTTCTCCTTCAGTGTGATAAAAACATGTTGCTTGACAACAATCTTTTAACATATGAGTCCTAACACAGGGTATTTGTATTTTGACTAAACTGTTCAGCATCTCCCACCCTGGGAAGCTGTATTTCTTTCTGTTTTTTGAAGTGGGTGGGGAGCTATATTTCTAAAGAACCTCTTCAATAGGAGCAGACTCTACAGAGCAAAATGTTTTATAATGTCTTCTCACCACTAGAGGGCGACATACCTTTTCCATAATTCTCCCCTTGGCAAACCTAGAGTTGTTAACTGAGATTTTTATTTCCAGAAATGAGGCCTGAAAACCCATCTAGAAGGCGGGGGCGGGGGACACAACCTAGGAATCAAGAATTATGTTTTATTCGGTGGACTTACTGAGGACTTAAACCTGGGTCCAGGCTCTCACGTAGCTCTGAGGGGTTGTTCTGAAGAGGAAAGAGAGGACCAGGATGTATAGTGTTTTGAAAAGAAAAACAAAGAGTCAAACATCAAAAGATTACTGCTAATTAATCACAAGTTAATGAATTTTGCACCTTTTTTATGTATGGGAAGATGCAAGAGTTGGGCTTAATGGAGTCATTGCTTTGATGTGCACCTTAACTGTCTAGGGCAGTGTGTGACTTGGGCTATCACTTAACTTCTCTGTTCTTTCTCTTCCTCATTTGTAAAACAGGTTAGATAATAGTGACCATTCAAGATTTCTGCTATTATTACTCCACAGACTGATCCACTCCAAAATCTACAAATAAGGAATCCCACTAGAGCATGGTCTGTAAGACTGAATACAATGTAATTTCTCGTTAAAAGGCACAGATTAAAGAATTGGGCTATACCCAAACCATGAAGCGAAAGGATAAGCGAAGGCTTAAGAAGGAAATAGAAAGACTTCTAGGATATTGCTGGGGCGGGGGAGCGGTCCTTATGGCATGCTACCTTTTGTACAATAATCTAACCCTAAGTCTTTTATGAAGAGGGTCTTCCCAGGCGGTGCTAGTGGTAAAAAAAAAAAAAAAAAAAAACCCGCCTGATGCAAGAGACACAGGTGATGAGAGCAGATTCAGCTCCTGTCTGGAACAAACAGTAAAGGCAGAACGGGGCGGCAGCATTCAGCTTTCTCAGGCAGACTCTGTAACTGAAAGTCGGTCATTCTAGGGATGCAGCTTTGAATTCAGACAGTTCAGTCAGGTCTGACTCTTCGCGACGCCATAGACTGCAGCACGCCAGGCCTCCCTGTCCATCACCAACTCCCGGACTTTACTCAAACTCATGTCCATCACGTCGGGGATGCCATCCAACCATCTCATCTTCTGTCGTCCCATTCTCCTCCCGCCTTCAAGCTTTCTCAGGATCAGGATCTTTTCCAATGAGTCGGTTCTTCACATCAGGTGGCCAAAGTATTGGAGTTTCAGCTTCAGCATCAGTCCTTCCAATGAATATTTAGGACTCATTTTCCTTAGGATTGACTGGTTGGATCTCCTTGCTGTCCAAGGGACCCTCAAGAGTCTTCTCCAACACCACAGTTCACTAAGAGCAATATTAGTGCTACTGTCTCTTCAAGCCGTATAAACCGGCTACTAAGAGAAGGGCTCAGAGGGGCCGGCTACAATTTGGTCAAAGAGAAATTCTTAGCCAGGGGGAAGCAACACCGTCAAAACAGAGGGGCTGGTTTGGATTCTCCAGCACCAGCGTGTTACGGCTCAATGCTCAGTCTCCGACTCTTTGCGGCCCCAAGGGCTGCAGCTCGCCGGGCTTCCCTGTCCCTCACTGTCGCCCAGGGTTTGCCCAAGTCCACGACCATCAGCACACAAGGTTTCAAAAAGTACTGTAAACATAAATAAATGAAGCAGCAGGTCAGCGGACGTGAAGT